AGCTCACCCCAGCGGGGGATCTCAGTGGCCTCAGGGAACTGGTGACGCCAAGCGTCCGTGAGGCGGCCAAAGCAGCGCTGGGTGGAGTGCGCACCCCCGCACTGCTCACCCGCGCGGTCGCCGGTGCGCAGGACGTAGGTGCACGGACCAGCACCCCCACCCCTCTGGCGTGCAGTGTACCACTCACGGAGCTGCTGAGGGGAGGGGACGTCACGAGTGCGCTGCTGCTGCTGCTGCTGCTGCTGGCGCTGACCACCACCGGAGCTGACCCTCTGCGCAGCGCCACCCCGACCAGCTCCACCTCCTCCGCCGCCTCCTCCTCCACCGCCGCCACCTCCGCTCCCTCCGCCACCGCCGCTGCCTCCTGCGCCTCCACTGCCGCCACCTACACCTCCACCCCCGCCACCACTCCCACCGCCACCCCCACCTCCTCCACCACCTCCACCGCCGCCTCCACCGCCCCCGCTAGCTCCTCCAGCGCCCCTGCCCCCCTTGCCCCTGCCAGGGCGGCGTCTCCCGCTAGGGGTAGACGCTGCCCCAACCGACTCCAAACCAGCGAGGTCGGCCGCAGCAGCAGAGGCAACAGAGGGCAAAAGAGGGGAGGGGGAACACCCCTCAAAGATGGGGGTGCGAGGGTCACCACGAGAGGCTCCTACAGCGACTATGCTCTTTTCTGCTGCTAGGAGGGCCTTCTCGAGGAGGTCAACGGTGAGAGTGGTGGGACAAACCGAGAGGAAGTGGTCCCTGACTACGCGAAGGGAGTCAGGGAGACGGGTGACGATGTAGTAGAGGGTGATGTACATGGGGGGGGGGTTCTTGGCGCAGAACTCAGCAGGAAGCGCAGCGCGGTAGCGAGTGTCACTAGTGCGGAGGTGCGTAATGAGGTCAGCGACTGTGGGAAAGGCAGCAAGGTCAGGGAAGAGGTACGGTAGCATGAGGCGGCTCAGTGCAGCAGTGGCAGGGGAGGAGTAGCGTGCAACTACAGCGTCGTACAAGGTCTGAGCACTCTTGTACTGGCTAAAGTGCGCACGCTCAGAGGTAGGCAGGTGGCGACGCACAGCAAGACGTGCAGCAGCATCGCGCGTGGCCCACTGGGAGCGAACAGTTGCGTCAGCATCAGTGGCGGGAGCAGGAGAGGCACCAGAAGTGAGGTCAAAGAGGGAGAGGCCGTCTGCCCTATCGCACTGTAAGAAAAGCTGCAGGTCATCTATCCAGACGTCAAAGTCAATGGCCCGACCCTCAGCGTCAAAAGCGAGGACACTAGGGGTAGCCATGACAGTAGTAGACTAGCAGCGCAAACAGTGGGGTGAGGGCAGTGCTGTGAGAGAGGCGCTGCTCTTACCGGACAGGGCGGCTCGGGCGGCTCGGCTGCAGGGCGGCTCGGCGACTCGGCTGCTGGGCGGCTCGGCTGCTGGGCGGCTCGGCGGCTCGGCTGCTGGGCGGCTCAGCGACTCGGCTGCTGGGCGGCTCGGCGGCTCTGCTGCTGGGCGGCTCGGCTGCTGGGCGGCTCGGCGGCTCGGCTGCTGGGCGGCTCGGTGGCTCAGCTGCTGGGCGGCTAGGCTGCTGGGCGGCTCGGCGGGGCCGCTGAGAGGGCGGCGTCCGGGGCCGCTGGGAGGAGGCGGCGGGGCCGCTGAGAGGAGGCGGCGGGGCCGCTGAGAGGAGGCGGCGGGGCCAGAAAGGTAGGTGGCGGGGCCGCGTCAGGGGCCGCGACAGGGGCCGCGTCAGGGGCCGCGTCAGGGGCCGCGGCAGGGCCGCGTCAGGGCGCCGCGTCAGGGGCCGCGTCAGGGCGCCGCCAGGGGCCGCGGCAGGACCGCGTCAGGGCCGCGTAAGGGGCCGCGGCAGGGGCCGCGTCAGGGCCGCGGCAGAGCCGCGTCAGGGCCGCGTCAGGGGCCGCTTCAGGGCCGCGGCAGGGGCCGCAGCAGGCCGCGTCAGGACCGCGTCAGGGGCCGCGGCAGGGCCGCGTCAGGGCCGCGGCAGGGGCCGCGTCAGGGCGCCGCGTCAGGGGCCACGTCAGGGCGCCGCCAGGGGCCGCGGCAGGGCCGCGTCAGGGCCGCGTCAGGGCCGCGTCAGGGGCCGCTTCAGGGCCGCGGCAGGGGCCGCGGCAGGCCGCGTCAGGGCCGCGTCAAGGGCCGCGGCAGGGCCGCGTCAGGGCCGCGGCAGGGGCTGCGTCAGGGCGCCGCCAGGGGCCGCGTCAGGCCGCGTCAGGGCCGCGTCAGGCGCCGCCAGGGGCCGCGTCAGGGCGCCACCAGGGGGCGCGTCAGGGGCCGCGATAGGGCGCCGGCAGGGGCCTCGTCAGGGCGCCGCCAGGGGCCGCATAGGGGGCGCGTGGGAGGCGGCGTAGGGGCCGCGTAGGGGCAGCGTAGGGGCCGCTAAAAAAAAAATTTAGGGCAGGGCGCAATGTGCGCGGGCAGCTAAAAAAAAAAATTCTTATGGTGGGCCCTTAGGAAGGAACGGTCCCATGTAGGAACCCGCTCTATACCATGTGAATCAAGAAAAACAGGAATGAGAATGACTAAGTGAAAGTTGGGTACAAGAAGCAAACCCTAGAAAACTGTACCCCATATGTGCTACCCCACTCTAGCCTACAGTAGCTATGTCATATAAATCTGACATGGTGATATCTGCTTCGAGGTGTATGCCCTTCACCATCAGTTAACTAACGCTTAGTAAGTTGTAGCCGAGTCCTTCTGCTATTAAAACCTTCGACATTTGTAGTATGACGTTTGTCTCTCGTGACTGAAGTTGAACTACGCCTTGTCGTCGTGTGCACAGGTTCTGGTTGTTCGCGACGGTGATGACGACTTCCCGTTGGAGTTGGTATTCCCGTTGAACGAAGAGACCTGAAGAGCACATGTGTTGTCCGCAGCAACTGTCCAAGAACCAGGTATCCTTCCCAGACGGTTCGTTTTGGGCGACGGCTGCGTACGTTGGGTTCGGTTGCAGCGACTCTTGACGTGGAGTCCTTTCGTCGAGTTGTTCTTCTGGTGAGTAGTGCGGCGGCGATTCAGTGATGCTGGAGTCGGTCAATCTTGCCATGCAGCTGACGATGTTCCTTGTTCCTTGTGCAGGTTGTCCCGTCGACGTTGTTGACGTTTGAACTTGAGTGGTGGAATTTGCTTGCGTTGAGGCGACTTGACTGCTTGAAGGTCGGAGCTGCCGCTGCGTTGGTGCTGACTGCTGCCGGTTAGGGCAGTGTGTGCGGGGATGACCTGACGTCTTGCAGAGATGACAGAACGGAGGTACGGGTTGTTGACCTTGGTACTTGTTTTGCCGATGGTTGTTGATGTTGTTGTAGCGCCGTTGAGTGTGGAAGGCGAACTCAGGCACTGACGTCTTCCTCTTGTGTTTTTCTTCTTGTAGGTCCATGTCTTGCTGTTCGGCGTGAATCTCGGCGCAGAGAGCTGCTTCGGAGATTTTCCCGTGGGCTCGGAGAATGGCTCGGGTGGAGCGCCATTGCGGACCAAGGCCGCCGATGATGACTGTGACGAAGGCGTCTTCGGATATCGTTCCTCCGCATCGAAGAAGCTTGTCGCGCAACTCGCGACAGCGACTGATATACGCCATCTCTTTTTTCGCCCGGTTTAATTTCCACTGTTGTCAATTGCGCCATCAACCGACTCTGATTGACGCTGTCTGTTGCTTGATACAGGTTCTTCAGGTGGTTGTATGCGAGTTCGGCGGAGTTGCCGTATCCCCGGTAAGACCGAATGTTCTGTTGCTGATTCGGAGTGATGTTCCTCAGTAGAATTGTGTACGCCATCATCGACTAATACGTGTACTGCTGTTTGTCGTATTGCGTGCCGTTTGTTGGATATGGCAGGGACCCGTCGAAGAAGCCGAGTATCTGCGCGCCTTCCATCATTAGCTCAAACTCGAATGACCAGGTGAAGAAGTCCTTCCCGTCGAATGGTCTTGAAGTTTGCAGTTTCAAGACATGTGCGAATTGCGACTGAACTTGGAGTGCGTCCAACGTCTTCTCTTGTCCAGGTGAAGGTTGCTGGTGCGGCATGAAGCTGATGGAACCTCGCTGGGGCTCGTACGGAGCGAAGGTAGGTTGTTGCTGATTTCCTCGTGCGTAGGATGAACCGTCGAGGCTCATCGGTGTTGCGTTGTTGTTGTTGCTGTTGTTTGACTGCGCAGGTGCCCCTTGCTGATGTTGTTCGTAGAAGGACATGAAGGAGAAGAATTTCTCCATCATGTCTGGGTCGAAGGCCGCGGCTTGATTTGCGGGAGTTTCAGTAGACCCAGCTGCTGGTCTTGTCGTTGTGCCCTCCTCTGTCTGTAAGCCAGAGGCAGGAGGTGGAGTAGGAGTAGTACCGGGAGAGCCGTTAGAGGAGCTTCTCTCCTTCTGCGTTGCCATGCCTTGTGATGTTGTGGGTGTCTTGATTGCAGTTGAATTTGTCCTGATAGCTCTCATGCCATGTTGGGCTGAGAAAAGCCCTTAGGATCTTTGCAGGACTAAATTCAGAGTAGGACAATGTAATAGCGGAAGCGTTTAATGAGAAGTTTGTGAACCACCTTGCGCTGGTATGTGAGGGCAAAGTAGATTGATTAAAACAAAAGGATACAAGCTTTTATAAGAGTACAAGAAATACGAAGAGATACAGTTAATAACCGTTTTACTATTGCTGTTGCGGTTCGACACAGTGACGACTCGGGCAACTGCTCAATAGCGAGTCAGTTGTTTGTCCTTGCTGTCGCGCTGTACTTGTCAGGTCAAAGGTCGCTGACCTTTGACTTTCGCGTAACCTCCAGCAGTTGTTCAACCTCCGAGGGTTGACTCGCTAATGCTTCGATATGTTTCGCTTCGCTTCTGACTTGGTGTTTCGACACGACAGATGCGCTAAATCAATTGTTTCCAACAAATTATAAGCCCACCCCCCTAAAAAACCCTGTTTTATTATACCTCCCCATGGGGACTTATCCGGGGGGTGACGGTATTCTAAACCTGTCGGTCTGGTATGCTAATATTATTCAAGGAAGTAACACAAATTTCAAATTCATGTTACACCAGTAGTGTCACCACCACTACTATTCCCCTCTAGCCTCCATAGTGCTAACTGCCCCCAAAGCTGCTTTCAACTCTCCAAACTCCCCAACATCAGAAAAATGGTCTCCCTGCGGACAAACAAGAGAAAGGAAGGAGCTTTCAGATACGCATACGTGCTTGGAAGTTGGAGAATGAACAACATTTGAGGTGCCTTATTTATGAACTCCACAAATGCCTAGTAAGTCTTTCCAGCCCTTTCAAGCGAAAGAAATCGGACATACAATCACAATAGATTGTACCAGATTGTAGTAACAACACCTTCCCTTTCCATGTTACCTGCTTCAAGATGTTGCCTAGAAGCATGCGCACCGATGCCAACCTCCTTTTGCCAGCACCACTCACTCTCACTCCCTCCCCTTCTCTCTCCTCCACTCCTTCCCTCTTTACTTCCTCCACCCCCTCTTCCCCAGCCACCCCTCGCACCACTGCCACCGTCCACCTCAGCGCCGCCCGTGTCAGCTGGCGGAACGCGTCTGGCTCGCCGTGCTGCCAGCTGGCAGACTGCAGAGAGCGCACGTGGCGCAGGAAGGCCTCCGCTGCCACGTCAGCATCGCCCACGGCTTCCAGGAAGGTTCCTTGCAGGCGGTAAATCTCCGGCACTCCTGCTCCTGACGCCACCGCCTGTTGATGTTTGTTTAGGTTTAGGGGGATGACAAGTGGAATGGTGGGGGGTTGAGGGGATGTGGTGGTTACGGGATATGTCTATCAAGCAGTAAATCTCCGGCACCCCTGCTCCTGACGCTACCGCCTGTTGGTGTTTGTTTAGGTTTGAGGGGGATGACAAGTGGAATGGTGGGGGGTTGAGGGGATGTGGTGGTTACGGGATATGTCTATCAAGCAGTAAATCTCCGGCACCCCTGCTCCTGACGCTACCGCCTGTTGGTGTTTGTTTAGGTTTGAGGGGGATGACAAGTGGAATGGTGGGGGGTTGAGGGGATGTGGTGGTTACGGGATATGTCTATCAAGCAGTAAATCTCCGGCACCCCTGCTCCTGACGCTACCGCCTGTTGGTGTTTGTTTAGGTTTGAGGGGGTTGACAAGTAAGGCAGTGGGGGTCGAGCAGAGGTGGTGGCTGAAGGATATGCACATAGTATGTCAAGCATACGGCAGCAAAGGCAGCAGCAGAGGCAGGAAGCAAGCATAAACCGAGGACGGCATCCCACCTTTCCCAGAAGCTTTATGAGCTCGGTTTCAAGCCTGGCGGCCTCCCTTTCGTTCATGGGACCACCACTCCCTGCTTGCGTCCCTCCATCCTCCTTATAAGCACCATTCGTTTCTGGCACACCATTCCCCTCTCCTCCACCCTCTCCTCCACCCTCCCCGCCCACCGCCTCCTCTCCCCCTGCCATCTTGCCCAGATCCAACGGCTGTAAACTCATCATCAAATCATCAATCTCACCACCATCCCCATCTCTCCCCTCCAACCCCTCCCCACCACCCTCACCTCCACCCTCCTCTCCCCTTCTTCCTCCCTCGCCATCACCGGTCTTCTCCTCCTCCTCCCCTTTCCCGCCTCTCCTATTCCTCTCCACCACCCCTATCAGCCCCTCTAGCACGGTTGTGTCGACCCGCTTGCCTTGAGTGAGCTCCACCACTCGTGATGCTGCTCTCACCGCCTTTGGGGGGCGGGGGAGTGAGAGAGGGGAAAGTGGGGGGTGGGGGAGGGTGGGTTGAAGCAACACCCGTGTCGACCCGCTTTCCCTGAGTCAACTCGAGCAATCGTGATGCTGCCCTCAACACCTTCGGGGGGAGAGAGAGTGGGGAGAGGAAGGCGAGGGGGAAGAGTGGGGGAAGGTGGAGGGGGGTTTAGGGCAGGGGAAGGGATGAAGAGAGTAGGGGGAGATATAGGGAAGTAAGCAGCACCCGTGTCAACTCGCTTGCAATGGGTGAGCTCGAGCACTCATGATGCTGCTCTAACAGCCTTTGGGGGGAGAGAGAGAGAGGAGGGAGAGGAATGGGTGGGGGGAGAATGGGGGAGGTGGCATGGGGTTGGGTTGGGGGCAGGTTAGAGCAGGGAGAGAGAGGAAGTAGGCGCTGTGGGGTGGGGCGAGGGTAGGGGGGGGAGGGAGAGAGAGGACCAGGGGCAAGGGTGATAAAGGGATGCGGAGAGCAGAGAGAGAGGAAGAGGCAACTGAGAGTACTTGTTTGAGAGGAGAGGAAGAAGAAGAAGCTATAGTTCCACGTACAGGGGAGGCGGGGAGAGAGGAGAGGACGGGGATATAAACCATTTACAGTTTCTTGAAGTATTATATACCCAATACTAAAAGATTCCAATTTGAATTTCAAGAGTCCCAATGCTATAACACGTCCCAGATGGCACCCTACCTGGTGGCACCCTGCCCCACCTGCCGGCACCGCATCACACCTGCTGGCAACCCACCGCACCTGCTGGTAGCTCTTCACATCCAGAGCCACCTTCGCAAAGTTTTCCCACAGGTGCCAGTCCTCTCCCCTGTGGAAAGGAGAGTGGGAGGCGGGGGAGGGGGACGGGGGTGAAGCTGTGTGAAGGGGTTGGAGTGATGGGGCGGAGTGGTGGGGCGGAACGATGGGGAGGAGCGATGGGGAGGAGCGATGGGGAGGAGCAATGGGGAAGCAGGAGTGATGAGGAGTGGATCACAGTAGTTCTCCTGCAAGAGCACACACCTCAACTCCTCGTATCCCATTGCACTCCCTCATACCACATCGCACTCACTTGTGCTTAAGTGCCTCCTGTAGCGTCTTAAACGCCTCTTGCATTCGGTTGCGCTGTAAGTTGCTGCCATGCCAAGGGGGTTTCAAGGTGTGAATGTTTAAATGGTATCTAAGTTGTGGAGGACAGGCAGGAAGAAAGACAAGAAGGTAAGTTGCTTCCATGGCAGCCAAGGTGTGAACGGAAAATGATATGTCTGGTCATGAGTAAGAGAAAGAGCACGAGCTATGCTAGCATTGATGTGTTGTGCGATGCGAGCATGAGCTAGCATGGCAAGACATCAATGCCGAGCATCGCATGCCATGATAATCTCAGTCAAGTTGTGCAAAGCCAAGTTGTGCAAAGCCAAGTTGTGCAAAGCCAAGTTGTGCAAAGCCAAGTTGTGCAAAGCCAAGTTGTGCAAAGCCAAGTTGTGCAAAGCCAAGTTGTGCAAAGCCAAGTTGTGCAAAGCCAAGTTGTGCAAAGCCAAGTTGTGCAAAGCCAAGTTGTGCAAAGCCAAGTTGTGCAAAGCCAAGTTGTGCAAAGCCAAGTTGTGCAAAGCCAAGTTGTGCAAAGCCAAGTTGTGCAAAGCCAAGTTGTGCAAAGCCAAGTTGTGCAAAGCCAAGTTGTGCAAAGCCAAGTTGTGCAAAGCCAAGTTGTGCAAAGCCAAGTTGTGCAAAGCCAAGTTGTGCAAAGCCAAGTTGTGCAAAGCCAAGTTGTGCAAAGCCAAGTTGTGCAAAGCCAAGTTGTGCAAAGCCAAGTTGTGCAAAGCCAAGCTGTGCAAAGCCAAGCTGTGCAAAGCCAAGCTGTGCAAAGCCAAGCTGTGCAAAGCCAAGCATGAGCGTGCAAGCATGAGCGTGCAAGCATGAGCGTGCAAGCATGAGCGTGCAAGCATGAGCGTGCAAGCATGAGCGTGCAAGCATGAGCGTGCAAGCATGAGCGTGCAAGCATGAGCGTGCAAGCATGAGCGTGCAAGCATGAGCGTGCAAGCATGAGCGTGCAAGCATGAGCGTGCAAGCATGAGCGTGCAAGCATGAGCGTGCAAGCATGAGCGTGCAAGCATGAGCGTGCAAGCATGAGCGTGCAAGCATGAGCGTGCAAGCATGAGCGTGCAAGCATGAGCGTGCAAGCATGAGCGTGCAAGCATGAGCGTGCAAGCATGAGCGTGCAAGCATGAGCGTGCAAGCATGAGCGTGCAAGCATGAGCGTGCAAGCATGAGCGTGCAAGCATGAGCGTGCAAGCATGAGCGTGCAAGCATGAGCGTGCAAGCATGAGCGTGCAAGCATGAGCGTGCAAGCATGAGCGTGCAAGCATGAGCGTGCAAGCATGAGCGTGCAAGCATGAGCGTGCAAGCATGAGCGTGCAAGCATGAGCGTGCAAGCATGAGCGTGCAAGCATGAGCGTGCAAGCATGAGCGTGCAAGCATGACCGTGCAAGCATGACCGTGCAAGCATGACCGTGCAAGCATGACCGTGCAAGCATGACCGTGCATGCATGACCGTGCATGCATGACCGTGCATGCATGACCGTGCAATGCATGACCGTGCATGCATGACCGTGCATGCATGACCGTGCATGCATGACCGTGCATGCATGAGCGTGCAAGCATGAGCGTGCAAGCATGAGCGTGCAAGCATGAGCGTGCAAGCATGAGCGTGCAAGCATGAGCGTGCAAGCATGAGCGTGCAAGCATGAGCGTGCAAGCATGAGCGTGCAAGCATGAGCGTGCAAGCAGGAGCGTGCAAGCAGGAGCGTGCAAGCAGGAGCGTGCAAGCAGGAGCGTGCAAGCATGAGCGTGCAAGCATGAGCGTGCAAGCATGAGCGTGCAAGCATGAGCGTGCAAGCATGAGCGTGCAAGCATGAGCGTGCAAGCATGAGCGTGCAAGCATGAGCGTGCAAGCATGAGCGTGCAAGCATGAGCGTGCAAGCATGAGCGTGCAAGCATGAGCGTGCAAGCATGACCGTGCATGCATGACCGTGCATGCATGACCGTGCATGCATGACCGTGCATGCATGAGCGTGCATGCATGAGCGTGCATGCATGAGCGTGCATGCATGAGCGTGCAATGCATGAGCGTGCAAGCATGAGCGTGCAAGCATGAGCGTGCAAGCATGAGCGTGCAAGCATGAGCGTGCAAGCATGAGCGTGCAAGCATGAGCGTGCAAGCATGAGCGTGCAAGCATGAGCGTGCAAGCATGAGCGTGCAAGCATGAGCGTGCAAGCATGAGCGTGCAAGCATGAGCGTGCAAGCATGAGCGTGCAAGCATGAGCGTGCAAGCATGAGCGTGCAAGCATGAGCGTGCAAGCATGAGCGTGCAAGCATGAGCGTGCAAGCATGAGCGTGCAAGCATGAGCGTGCAAGCATGAGCGTGCAAGCATGACCGTGCAAGCATGACCGTGCAAGCATGACCGTGCAAGCATGACCGTGCAAGCATGAGCGTGCAAGCATGAGCGTGCAAGCATGACCGTGCATGCATGACCGTGCATGCATGAGCGTGCATGCATGAGCGTGCATGCATGAGCGTGCATGCATGAGCGTGCATGCATGAGCGTGCATGCATGAGCGTGCATGCATGACCGTGCATGCATGAGCGTGCATGCATGAGCGTGCATGCATGAGCGTGCATGCATGAGCGTGCATGCATGAGCGTGCATGCATGAGCGTGCATGCATGAGCGTGCATGCATGAGCGTGCATGCATGACCGTGCATGCATGACCGTGCATGCATGACCGTGCATGCATGACCGTGCATGCATGACCGTGCATGCATGACCGTGCAAGCATGAGCGTGCATGCATGAGCGTGCATGCATGACCGTGCATGCATGAGCGTGCATGCATGACCGTGCATGCATGACCGTGCATGCATGACCGTGCATGCATGAGCGTGCATGCATGAGCGTGCAAGCATGAGCGTGCATGCATGACCGTGCATGCATGACCGTCCAAGCATGACCGTGCAAGCATGACCGTGCATGCATGAGCGTGCATGCATGAGCGTGCATGCATGAGCGTGCATGCATGAGCGTGCATGCATGAGCGTGCATGCATGAGCGTGCATGCATGAGCGTGCATGCATGAGCGTGCATGCATGAGCGTGCATGCATGAGCGTGCATGCATGAGCGTGCATGCATGAGCGTGCATGCATGAGCGTGCATGCATGAGCGTGCATGCATGAGCGTGCATGCATGAGCGTGCATGCATGACCGTGCATGCATGACCGTGCATGCATGACCGTGCAAGCATGACCGTGCAAGCATGACCGTGCAAGCATGACCGTGCATGCATGAGCGTGCATGCATGACCGTGCATGCATGACCGTGCATGCATGACCGTGCATGCATGACCGTGCATGCATGAGCGTGCATGCATGAGCGTGCATGCATGAGCGTGCATGCATGACCGTGCATGCATGAGCGTGCATGCATGACCGTGCATGCATGACCGTGCATGCATGACCGTGCATGCATGACCGTGCATGCATGACCGTGCATGCATGACCGTGCATGCATGAGCGTGCATGCATGAGCGTGCATGCATGAGCGTGCATGCATGAGCGTGCATGCATGAGCGTGCATGCATGAGCGTGCAAGCATGAGCGTGCAAGCATGAGCGTGCAAGCATGAGCGTGCAAGCATGAGCGTGCAAGCATGAGCGTGCAAGCATGAGCGTGCAAGCATGAGCGTGCAAGCATGAGCGTGCAAGCATGAGCGTGCAAGCATGAGCGTGCAAGCATGAGCGTGCAAGCATGAGCGTGCAAGCATGAGCGTGCAAGCATGAGCGTGCAAGCATGAGCGTGCAAGCATGACCGTGCAAGCATGACCGTGCAAGCATGACCGTGCAAGCATGACCGTGCATGCATGACCGTGCATGCATGACCGTGCATGCATGACCGTGCATGCATGACCGTGCATGCATGACCGTGCATGCATGACCGTGCATGCATGAGCGTGCATGCATGAGCGTGCATGCATGAGCGTGCATGCATGAGCGTGCATGCATGAGCGTGCATGCATGAGCGTGCATGCATGAGCGTGCATGCATGACCGTGCATGCATGACCGTGCATGCATGAGCGTGCATGCATGAGCGTGCATGCATGACCGTGCATGCATGACTGTCCAAGCATGAGCGTGCAAGCATGACCGTGCAAGCATGACCGTGCATGCATGACCGTGCATGCATGACCGTGCATGCATGAGCGTGCATGCATGAGCGTGCATGCATGAGCGTGCATGCATGAGCGTGCATGCATGAGCGTGCATGCATGAGCGTGCATGCATGAGCGTGCATGCATGAGCGTGCATGCATGAGCGTGCATGCATGAGCGTGCATGCATGAGCGTGCATGCATGAGCGTGCATGCATGAGCGTGCATGCATGAGCGTGCAAGCATGAGCGTGCAAGCATGACCGTGCAAGCATGACCGTGCAAGCATGACCGTGCAAGCATGACCGTGCAAGCATGACCGTGCAAGCATGACCGTGCAAGCATGACCGTGCATGCATGACCGTGCATGCATGACCGTGCATGCATGACCGTGCAAGCATGACCGTGCAAGCATGACCGTGCATGCATGACCGTGCATGCATGACCGTGCATGCATGAGCGTGCATGCATGAGCGTGCATGCATGAGCGTGCATGCATGAGCGTGCATGCATGAGCGTGCATGCATGAGCGTGCAAGCATGAGCGTGCAAGCATGAGCGTGCAAGCATGAGCGTGCAAGCATGAGCGTGCAAGCATGAGCGTGCAAGCATGAGCGTGCAAGCATGAGCGTGCAAGCATGAGCGTGCAAGCATGAGCGTGCAAGCATGAGCGTGCAAGCATGACCGTGCAAGCATGACCGTGCAAGCATGACCGTGCAAGCATGACCGTGCAAGCATGACCGTGCAAGCATGACCGTGCATGCATGACCGTGCAAGCATGACCGTGCATGCATGACCGTGCATGCATGACCGTGCATGCATGAGCGTGCATGCATGAGCGTGCATGCATGAGCGTGCATGCATGAGCGTGCATGCATGAGCGTGCATGCATGAGCGTGCATGCATGAGCGTGCATGCATGAGCGTGCATGCATTAGCGTGCATGCATGAGCGTGCATGCATGAGCGTGCATGCATGACCGTGCAAGCATGAGCGTGCATGCATGAGCGTGCATGCATGAGCGTGCATGCATGAGCGTGCATGCATGACCGTGCATGCATGAGCGTGCATGCATGACCGTGCATGCATGAGCGTGCATGCATGAGCGTGCATGCATGACCGTGCATGCATGACCGTGCATGCATGACCGTGCATGCATGAGCGTGCATGCATGACCGTGCAAGCATGAGCGTGCATGCATGAGCGTGCATGCATGACCGTGCAAGCATGAGCGTGCATGCATGAGCGTGCATGCATGACCGTGCAAGCATGACCGTGCATGCATGAGCGTGCATGCATGAGCGTGCATGCATGACCGTGCAAGCATGAGCGTGCATGCATGAGCGTGCATGCATGACCGTCCAAGCATGACCGTGCATGCATGAGCGTGCATGCATGACCGTGCAAGCATGACCGTGCATGCATGACCGTGCAAGCATGAGCGTGCATGCATTAGCGTGCATGCATGAGCGTGCATGCATGAGCGTGCATGCATTAGTGTGCATGCATGAGCGTGCATGCATGAGCGTGCATGCATTAGCGTGCATGCATTAGCGTGCATGCATGAGCGTGCATGCATGAGCGTGCATGCATGAGCGTGCATGCATGAGCGAGCATGCATGAGCGTGCATGCATGACCGTGCAAGCATGACCGTGCAAGCATGACCGTGCAAGCATGACCGTGCAAGCATGACCGTGCAAGCATGACCGTGCAAGCATGACCGTGCATGCATGACCGTGCATGCATGACCGTGCATGCATGACCGTGCAAGCATGACCGTGCATGCATGACCGTGCATGCATGAGCGTGCATGCATGACCGTGCATGCATGACCGTGCATGCATGAGCGTGCATGCATGAGCGTGCATGCATGAGCGTGCATGCATGAGCGTGCATGCATGACCGTGCAAGCATGAGCGTGCATGCATGAGCGTGCATGCATGAGCGTGCATGCATGAGCGTGCATGCATGAGCGTGCATGCATGACCGTGCATGCATGAGCGTGCATGCATGACCGTGCATGCATGAGCGTGCATGCATGAGCGTGCATGCATGACCGTGCATGCATGACCGTGCATGCATGACCGTGCATGCATGAGCGTGCATGCATGACCGTGCAAGCATGAGCGTGCATGCATGAGCGTGCATGCATGACCGTGCAAGCATGAGCGTGCATGCATGAGCGTGCATGCATGACCGTGCAAGCATGACCGTGCATGCATGAGCGTGCATGCATGAGCGTGCATGCATGACCGTGCAAGCATGAGCGTGCATGCATGAGCGTGCATGCATGACCGTCCAAGCATGACCGTGCATGCATGAGCGTGCATGCATGACCGTGCAAGCATGACCGTGCATGCATGACCGTGCAAGCATGAGCGTGCATGCATTAGCGTGCATGCATGAGCGTGCATGCATGAGCGTGCATGCATTAGTGTGCATGCATGTGCGTGCATGCATGAGCGTGCATGCATGAGCGTGCATGCATTAGTGTGCATGCATTAGCGTGCATGCATGAGCGTGCATGCATGAGCGTGCATGCATGAGCGTGCATGCATGAGCGTGCATGCATGAGGGTGCATGCATGAGCGTGCATGCATGAGCGTGCATGCCTTAGTGTACATGCATTAGCGTGCATGCATGAGCGTGCATGCATGAGCGTGCATACATGAGCGTGCATGCATGAGCGTGCATGCATGAGCGTGCATGCATTAGCGTGCATGCATGAGCGTGCATGCATGAGCGTGCATGCATGAGCGTGCATGCATGAGCGTGCGTGCATGAGCGTGCATGCATGAGCGTGCATGCATGAGCGTGCATGCATGAGCGTGCATGCATGAGCGTGCATGCATTAGCGTGCATGCATGAGCGTGCATGCATGAGCGTGCATGCATGAGCGTGCATGCATGAGCGTGCATGCATGAGCGTGCATGCATGAGCGTGCATGCATGAGCGTGCATGCATGAGCGTGCATGCATTAGTGTGCATGCATTAGCGTGCATGCATGAGCGTGCATGCATTGCTGACCATTGCTGTGCAAGCATGACCTGACCTGAGCACTCGCAGCATAGACTAGGCACTCACAGCACCGCCAGGTTGTTCCACGCCTCCCCGTTGTCGGGGTCGATCTGCACTGAACGTGTGAGCGCATACAGCGCCTTGTCCCCATCACACGCCTGCAACCAGCACATGAATGGGAGTCGGGAGACATGTGGCAAGCAGGCAGGGGTCAAACGGATGAACGCAGGTGGGCTGAACAAACATGTGTGTGGGATCCGCACTGCAGCCCACCTGTTGGCCTATCACGACTTAGAGACTGAAGTTATGACATAACCTGTTAGTACAGTCGATACGTCTCTCACCCACTGCTACTAAGTGAACGCACTCCATAGCTAGGTTGTAATCCAGAAAGAGCCAACCAAGAGATGACTTTTGAGTCGACTCAAAATTCGTCTCAACGCACTCCATAGCTAGGTTGTAATCCAGAAAGAGCCAACCAAGAGATGACTTTTGAGTCGACTCAAAAGTCGTCTCAACGCACTCCATAGCTAGGTTGTAATTTAGAAAGAGCCAACCAAGAGATGACTTTTGAGTCGACTCAAAAGTCGTCTCAACGCAGTCCATAGCTAGGTTGTAATCCAGAAAGAGCCAACCAAGACAATTTTTGAGGTGCCTCAAAACTCGCCTTGATTCTTTAGGCGCCTCAAAAATCTCAATATCTAAGTCATACTCCAGAAAGAACCAACCAGAGGGACGCAAAGGCCTGACAACCAGAGCAGTTCCCATTTTGCCAGCACCGGCCATACCTGTACAGCTTGCTCTCCCTCTTTCTGCATCGCGCTGCACCGCACTACGCCTACCTGAATAGCAGAGTAGCCCAAGGAGAACCAGGCAGATGCATGCAGCGGGCTGATTGCCAGCGCAGCCTCCCAGTGAGCCATGGCTGCCTTGAAATCCTTGCTGTTCATTGCCATGCGTGCTAGTGCTCTCTGTGGTAAGAGAAGTGAAGAGGGATGGAGAGAGGTAACAAGGGATGGAGAGGGTTGAAGCGCAGCCTCTCTTATGCAGCCTCCCAGTGAGCCATGGCTGCTTTGAAGTCCCTGTTGTTCATTGCCATGTGCGCTAGTGCTCGCTGTGATGGGGAGCGGGAGCAGAGTAGAGGGAAAGGGGGAATGAGGCCACGTCTCACTAAGAGAACTCTCCAACTCCCACACCTTCCCACGTCTTTCCCGGTTCACATGCAAAGCAGCCATTCCTGGTTTTGTTTTGAGAATAGTGAGTTGTGAGTCGACTCAAAACGCAGCCATTACTGGTTTTGTTTTGAGAATAATAAAAAAAAAACCCTGGAACGCCTTCCGAGCCTTCTTTCTCATCGCACTCCTCCTCAGCCAAATCTCAGAATCACGTTTGAGGATTCTCAAAAGCCCACCCCTCCGGCCACTGTACTGTCACCATACCACCATTACGTCCGTTTATAACACCTTACGTACTATGCCGCACCGCACTGTACTGCAATGCACCACACTCCACCACCGCTCTCCATACCTGTGCGCGTGCATATCTGTGTCGGGAAAACTCCCAGGCCTTCTCATAGCACTCTTTCTTCTCCGTCAGATCCCCCAGGCAGCACCACAGGCGTGGATCCTCCTTCTGCTCCTTCAACCTCGCCGTCACCAGCGCTGCTGCTGCTGCCCGTTTTCCCAAAAGGCTGAGATGGGGGAGGAGGGGGGGAGTGGAGGAGGGGGGGAAGGGGAGGATGGGGGGAAAGAAGGACAGATCCCAGGCAGCACCACAGGCGCGGATCCTCCTTCTGCTCCTTCAACCTCGCCGTCACCAGCGCTGCTGCTGCTGCTCTTTTGCCCAGCAGGCTGGGATGGGATAATGGGAGGAGTGGAGGGGGATGGGATGGGGTTGAAAAACTATGTTTCAGCCTTGCCGTCACCAGCGCCACTGCTGCTGCCCTCTTCCCCATAAGACTGAAATGGGGGCGGGAAGAAGGGGGTGCTTGTGCGTTGAAGAAGGGGGTGCTTGTGCGTTGAGTCGCCTCTACTACTACAACAGATGGCCACAGAGGCTCACTCTTTCCTCTCGAACAGGCTTTTGAGAATTCTCAAAAGCCAGAAGGGGGTGCTTGTGCGTTGAGTCGCCTCTACTACTACAACAGATGGCCACAGAGGCTCACTCTTTCCTCTCGAACAGGCTTTTGAGAATTCTCAAAAGCCAGAAGGGGGTGCTTGTGCGTTGAGTCGACTCTATTACAACAGATGGCCACAGAGGCTCGCTCTTTCCTCTCGAACAGGTGTATGCTGAGTTAACTCAAGACACACTTGAAGAGTGTACTGTACTGTGTACCTTGCAGTCTAGCTGTGTGAATGTGAATCAAGTGCACCTGTAGCTCAACTCAAAACCATGTCTAGTGCACCGTTGCTAACAGTGTTCACCTGTAGCTGTGCTCATCTCTATTAGAACAGATGGTCCCACAGCTCGATCATTACAGACGGCCACACCTGCATACCAAGTGCACCCTTTTCATTCTTTCCGAGTTGACTCACAACACACGTGTGAAGTGAAGTGCACCTACCCTCCTTCGCAGCTGACCTGTAGCAGTCGATCAGATGGTCCCACAGCTCGTTCGCCTCAAAAACCGTACTGTACCTGCATGCAAGTGCACCCTTGCACTGCACCATTGCACTGCACCCTTGCACTGCACCCTTGCAGTGCACCCTCCCTTGCTCGCAGTGCTCACCTGTAGCAGTCGATGAGATGGTCCCACAGCTCATTCGTCTCAAACACGCGCATGGCCTCGCCCACACATCCGCTCGCCACCAGCACCTCCCCATACTCCCTGCCGTGATGTGATGTGTGTGTGGGGAATATGAGCAGGGTAGAAGAGGGAACAGGTGTTGGGGAGAGCAACACACGCGCATGGCCTCGCCCACACACCCGCTCGCCACCAGCACCTCCCCATACTCCCTGCCGTGATGTGTAAGTGGGGGCGGGAGGGGGTGGGGTGGGGATTGGGAGGGGTAAGAAATTGGAGGGGTTGGGGAGAGAGTCGACTCAAAGGTATAACATAGCTCACTTGAAGAGAGCAGGCTGTGACTCACTTGAAGAGAGCAGGCGTGGTGGGGAACCAAACAGCGAAGCAGTATTTCATCCTCTCTGCTGCTTCTCTCGCTTCCTCCTCCGGCAACGCAGCCGCCACAGCTCCTCCCGATGATCCCGAGGCTGCTTGCGATTGCTGCTGGCGGATTCTCTTCTCCTGATGTGAGACTGACTGGATCTGAAGTGGGAGCACACCACCGCACCGCACCGCACAGCACAGCACAGCACAGCACAGCACCGCACCGCACAGCACAGCACAGACGGATCACAGTAATCTGCTTGTAGACAACAAACGTGTGGAGAAGTGACTTGCCACCCGTGTTCCCTTTGCTAGGCGGCGTGAAATTCACGAGATTTCAAGGACAACGAAGCACAGCACCAAGAAGCAAGGTGAAACACAGGAATATGCTTCACAAGCCGCAGGTAGCAGAAGCCTGATAATCCATTCCTTCCTATTCACTCCCAGCCCAGATCACCAATCGCTCCATTCCTCCTCACTCACCAATCGCTCCATTCCTCCTCACTCACCAATCGCTCCATTCCTCCTCACTCACCAATCGCTCCATTCCTCCTCACTCACCAATCGCTCCATTCCTCCTCACTCACCAATCGCTCCATTCCTCCTCACTCACCAATCGCTCCATTCCTCCTCACTCACCAATCGCTCCATTCCTCCTCACTCACCAATCGCTCCATTCCTCCTCACTCACCAATCGCTCCATTCCTCCTCACTCACCAATCGCTCCATTCCTCCTCACTCACCAATCGCTCCATTCCTCCTCACTCACCAATCGCTCCATTCCTCCTCACTCACCAATCGCTCCATTCCTCCTCACTCACCAATCACTCCATTCCTCCTCACTCACCAATCGCTCCATTCCTCCTCACTCCCCAATCGCTCCATTCCTCCTCACTCACCAATCGCTCCATTCCTCCTCACTCACCAATCGCTCCATTCCTCCTCACTCACCAATCGCTCCATTCCTCCTCACTCACCAATCGCTCCATTCCTCCTCACTCACCAATCGCTCCATTCCTCCTCACTCACCAATCGCTCCATTCCTCCTCACTCACCAATCGCTCCATTCCTCCTCACTCACCAATCGCTCCATTCCTCCTCACTCACCAATCGCTCCATTCCTCCTCACTCACCAATCGCTCCATTCCTCCTCACTCACCAATCGCTCCATTCCTCCTCACTCACCAATCGCTCCATTCCTCCTCACTCACCAATCGCTCCATTCCTCCTCACTCACCAATCGCTCCATTCCTCCTCACTCACCAATCACTCCATTCCTCCTCACTCACCAATCGCTCCATTCCTCCTCACTCCCCAATCGCTCCATTCCTCCTCACTCACCAATCGCTCCATTCCTCCTCACTCACCAATCGCTCCATTCCTCCTCACTCACCAATCGCTCCATTCCTCCTCACTCACCAATCGCTCCATTCCTCCTCACTCCCCAATCGCTCCATTCCTCCTCACTCACCAATCGCTCCATTCCTCCTCACTCACCAATCGCTCCATTCCTCCTCACTCACCAATCGCTCCATTCCTCCTCACTCACCAATCGCTCCATTCCTCCTCACTCACCAATCACTCCATTCTTCCTCACTCACCAATCGCTCCATTCCTCCTCACTCACCAATCACTCCATTCCTCCTCACTCACCAATCACTCCATTCCTCCTCACTCACCAATCGCTCCATTCCTCCTCACTCACCAATCGCTCCATTCCTCCTCACTCACCAATCACTCCATTCCTCCTCACTCACCAATCGCTCCATTCCTCCTCACTCACCAATCGCTCCATTCCTCCTCACTCACCAATCGCTCCATTCCTCCTCACTCACCAATCACTCCATTCCTCCTCACTCACCAATCGCTCCATTCCTCCTCACTCACCAATCGCTCCATTCCTCCTCACTCACCAATCACTCCATTCCTCCTCACTCACCAATCACTCCATTCCTCCTCACTCACCAATCACTCCATTCCTCCTCACTCACCAATCGCTCCATTCCTCCTCACTCACCAATCGCTCCATTCCTCCTCACTCACCAATCACTCCATTCCTCCTCACTCACCAATCACTCCATTCCTCCTCACTGACCAATCACTCCATTCCACCTCACTCACCAATCGCTCCATTCCTCCTCACTCACCAATCGCTCCATCTGCCCTCTGCCGTGTGTGCGAGTGCGAGCGGTCACGAGATGCCACCGAGACGTCTCAAGCTGTAACTGTAATGGCTGTAGTCCTCACCCACACACAACTGCCCTCTGCCACGTGTGCAAACGGGAGATGCAATGTCTGAAGCGGCAGTACTTGTCCTGTCAGGCATTTCATCCACTCCCATGCCACACTTACCAGTCGTTCATTGTCGCAACTGCCCTCTGCTGTGTGTGCGGTCTGCACCTGCAGATGCCACGTCTGAAGCTGTAAGATAAATCCCGTCAGCCATTGCATCAACGCACTCCCATGCCACACTTACCAGTCGTTCCATTGTCGCCACTGCCCTCTGCCGTGTATGCGGTCGCTTGCGCTCCCACCGCACTCTCAGCAGCTCACACCCCGCTTTCACCTGTGGAAGTTGAGCACAGCATGGGTGGGATGCGTTGCTAGATAGAAAGTTTCTCTACGAAGATGCTTTTGATGCGCCAAAAAACACAGACGTTTTTATCACAATGGTGCAGCGTGGCAAGTTTTTTTTTTTACTTATGAGGCGAGCTTTGAGTCGACTCAAACCTAGCCTAAAAAATGGTGCAGCGTGGCAAAGCAGCAGCTGCAGCAGCATACCATGGGTGGGACGTGTTGTTGCAGAGTGATTGCTTCGATATAAGGTGCTGCCTCCCAGCCTGTAACACAGTTGTCACAGATTGAAAATATGAAACATTAAAAGTAAAAGGTTAATGTTACCAAAGAATGAAGGAACGAAAGGACAGACAAACGGAAGAAACAACGACACTTTATTTTTTGTGTGGCGTGGCGTCTCCAGCCAAAGCCCTCTGCGTCTCACACACATCTTGTCTACGTTTCTAAGCAGTCTCATAAGATATCCGACTCACCTCTCAGCTCATCAGCAGCGTTTTGCTTCACAGTATCAACAGCCATAGCCAGCACTGCTGCCTGCTCAACACCCCTCAATACCCCTCCCTTCCCCCCAAACCCCCCCGTTCCCAACCCCACCCTTCTTCTCCAACGCCTGAAAGGCCATCCCACTCACCTCTCAGCTCATCAGCAGCGTTTTGCTTCACAGTATCAACAGCCATAGCCAGCACTGCTGCCTGCTCAACACCCCTCAATACCCCTCCCTTCCCCCCAAACCCCGCCGTTCCCAACCCCACCCTTCTTCTCCAACGCCTGAAAGGCCATCCCACTCACCTCTCAGCTCATCAGCAGCGTTTTGCTTCACAGTATCAACAGCCATCGCCAGCACTGCCGCCTGCTCAACACCCCTCAGCACACCACGCGTGCCACCATTGACAGCACTCTGCTTCTCTTCCTTTTCACCCCCATTTGCCACGATCTCACCCCCACCACCCCCTCCTTCCACAAGCCGGGGTGCCAGAAGCACGTCACTCTCCGGCTCGAACAAACACTCCAACTCCTCCATACTCTCCCCTTCCTCCTCCGCCTTCGCTTCCCCCCCCTCCCCCTTCTCTCCATCCTCCCCTTGCTGCCCTTGCCCGTCCCCACAAGTCCCATCCCTGGCTGATGCCCTGTCGCTCAGCAACGCCCCACCTCCTTCCTTTGGAGATTCGCTTCTTGTCACGGCCAGCACGAGCTGGGCTTTGGGATCGACCTGTGTGCATCCCGTGGGAAGAAGAGTTGGGAAGAAAATTGGGAAGAGCATATGTGAATGCAGGGGGGGGGGGATGAAGGCCTGTAGCATAGCACCACCCCATTTCCTCTCTTCAGGGAATCGCTTCTTGTCGCTGCCAGCATGAGCTGGGCTTTGGGGTCGACCTGTGTGCATCCCGTGGGAAGAAGAATGGGAAGGAGAGGCGAAAAAAAGAGATTGAATGAACATATGCGAATGCAGGGGGCGAACCAAACCATGCCCCATGTCCTGTCCAACTGCGCTTTCTCACCATATGCATGCCATTTCATACAAGGCCATGGTCATCTCATGCCATGCCATGCCATGCCATGCCATGCCATCCCATGTGTGTGACCCACACCCCACCCTGCTCGAACCCTGTCCGTGCATGTGCGCCCACTCCCCTCCTTAAAGCCCTTCCTTTAGTGAGAATACCTACTCACCCCTATCCCCGTTCACCTGATGTATGGTGCGGTAACCCATGGCTCCGGTTACACTCAGCACCACTCCGCACTCCTGCAGAGCTCTCTCAAACCAATTCCTGCCCGCCAAAGCGGGTGTTTGTGGGTGTGGATGATGCGGGGGTCGAGAAGGGGGGAGGTGGAATGGAACGCGGGGTGAGAAAAGGCAAGATAGTGTGGGGTGGAGGTGCGCAAGCAACAGAATAGCACATCTGCCTGGGTAACATGGTCCACGTGTCAGGCACACACCTGGCAGTGTCCACGTGGCAGGCACACACCTGGCAGTGTTCACGTGGCAGGCACACACCTGGCAGTGTCCACGTGTCAGGCACACACACCTGGCAGTGTCCACGTGTGCATAGACCATCTCCATCATCCCAGCCTCCAGATGCACTAGTGCTGCCACCCGCACACACACTTCCTCCTCCCCTTCCCCCTCCTTTCCCCTCTCCTTCTCCCCACCCTCCGCCTCCACCTCCTTCTCCTCCTCTTTTCTAAAGTAAGCCCATTTCACGGCATCTTTCCTCCCCAGCGTCTCTCCCAGGTGAACAGTGCACGGGAGCAGCAGGGCGCGGAGGGAGGGAGACCGCTCCTGTAGCACCCTCTGGTGAATAACGACAACCCTCGCCGCCCACCAGGGCCAGGAGGGCGGCAGCAGGGAGGGGGAGAAGGCTTCAGAAGGTTTGATAGAGGGAGAGGAGGAGGAGGAGGAGGAGGAGGAGGAAAGGGAGGGGGAGGTGGAGAAAGGGGAGGGGAAGAGGAGTGGGAAGAGAGGGGGGAGGAGGAGGGATCGGGCGAGCAGGAGGTACTGGGGGAGGTGGCATCTGCCAGTGACGTCAGCACCATCTGTCATGAGCTCCACCTGGCACCACTTGCTCAGTGCCACGCGTGCCGCCTCGCTGGCGAGGAACGCGGGGTGGCTGGCAGGTGCTGACGTGGTTGCTGATGTGTCGTGTGCGGCTGCTGATGTGTCGCTGTTGGTATGTGGTGGGCTGAGTGGGAGGGTCGGGACTGCAGAAGGCTCGGGACTGGTGGTGGTGGGGCGAGAGAAAAGAGGGAGTGGAGAGTGAGAGTGGAGGGAGTGTGGAACGAAGGGCATGGGAGGCAAGGGAGAGGGAATGTGGGAGTTCGAGCAGGTGATAAAAAGGGAGTCACACGGGGGACCGTGGGGGCAAAAAAAGGGACAGAATTTAGTGAAACAGTGTTGTTTAAATATTGAATGAGAAACTTGATTCATGGTCCCTGGTTCACGGCTCGGGGTTTCTGGTTCCAAGCGCAAAGTTCAAAGCTCAAGGTTTAAGGCACAGGGTTTCGGGCTTTATGGGACTTTAGGTTGAGCGCTTGGAGTTTGAAGTTTAGAGGCTGAAAGCGGGCTTGCAGATTGACCGTGCCCCGAAGCTATAGCTTAAACCCCAAAACCCTGACTATGGTTCTTATAAATCCCTATGTCTTGATCCTGGTAACTTGGACCCGTGTCTCTCACTGCACGCCTTGGTACCTCCGCTAGGCAAAGGATCTCTCCCCTCTCGTCACGCGAAATTGGTAGCCCACACCCATTCCTCGTTAGAAGCGTGCACATCACACCCATTCATCGTTATAATCACGCGCCGCTTACAGTCACACCCACCCGCTAACGTTGGCCTGCACGAAGAGGCAGAGGCTCGCCGCCCCCATCATCAGCACCATTAGCGCCTTCTCTCCCCCGCTCCACTCGCTAACCCCCTCGACCTCTTCCTCCCCCTCCTCCTTCTCCCCATTCCCGCTTCCCGACGGGGGCTTTCTCCCCAGATCCGTCAGCAGCGCGCCGATCCTCCCCCGCACTGCGCGGAAAAACGATTCCGCCGCCGCTGCGCCCGCGGCGGCTTCCCCTGGCTGGTTCCGCGAGCTCGTGCCCACCGCCTCCGCCAGCTGCTCCGCGGGGGGGAGGACCGCGAGCGCGGAGGATGCGCGCTCCAGCGCGGCGGCATACCTGCCCGCGCTGATGAGCGTAACTACGGAGGCTAGCGCGGCTAACGGCCGTTCGCCTGACCTGATGTCTCTTGAACCTCTAAGCCCGTCACTATCGCAAGCGAGTTTTCGCGAATGTAGCTCGCGATGCCGTAGCGCGAACGACGGCGGCGCTCCGAGCGAGACGATCAAAAGCTCGGCTTCGAGAGATCGCTCCTCCATGCTCGCGCCAGAGCTAGCGCGTGCCATGGCGAATATATTTTTCGTTACTGGCTATGGGTTTTCTGTTTGTAGTAGTTCGGGCCTTTAGCGAAACAGCTCTTGTGGCAGTTTGGGGTGGGGTTGGTTTGGCGCCACTTCGTGATTTGGGTGTCGCGAATGTGAGCAGAAAATCCTGGTAGCCGAAGCTCAAGCGAAACGTGAACGAAGCTCAATTGAAACGTGAGCGAAATACTAGCAAAACCAAATTGGAAAGCCGAACTAGTCAGAACAAAGCACATCTCGCGAACTCCGTAACTGAACACACTTCGATGTCGCTTCCCTCTGCGATACCAAACCAAGCCAACCCAACCCAAGAACCATTGATAATTTCGCCACCCTGCGTCACATCAAGCCTACTAGCATTGTCTTAAAGCCCGTGCAAGCTTTTAAAACTTGAAGAAGTGGGCTGTGCAAGCTTTGAAAAGAAGCGCACCTGCAATTTGGAACTTTCGAGGTCTGACACACCCACAAGGGTAAAAACGAGGGGCTGGCTGGGTTTGGCGAAAACAACGAATGTGGCGAAATCAGAAACACTCGCCAAAGCCCAAACTACCAAAACTCCATCACGTCAACTTTTTAAAACTTGTGCAATTTGGGTCAACGGCTTTAAGTTTCTTCATCGCGTCCCAAGCTTGCGCCATAAAGTTCAGCAGTTCTGAAAGGGTTCTACCAGAGGAATTATATTTCCTGAGATATAACCTCTTTCGAGTTTGCCGTCTCTGCTTTAGATTTCTCGTCTCAAGCGAAAGGCTGTCCGGTTGGCTTGTCATCACCGGAATTTTCTAGTCGACTGAAAAACATTAGTTGGCTCGTCAGCACCAAACAGAATGGATGAGTTATACAGCGACGACGAGGATGACGTCATGCCGATCGACGATGACGACGACGACGACCAACTGCCGGATGAGGATGAGAAGGAGCTGGAAAATGACGAGGAACGCATTCAAAACCCCGCAACCATTCTCAACCACGACGGAACGTACCGCTGTCCCTTCTGCCCGGGTCAGATGAAGCAGGATTACTTATTCAACGAAGTTATGACACACGCCGAAGCTCAATCTAAAAAGACATCAAGAAAAGGGGCTAAGGAGAGTCGACGACACAAGATGCTGGTGGAGCGGCTGATGCGGGCAGATATGCAGCCGGAGAAGCCTGTTCGGGCTGTAAACGCGGCACCTCTTCAGACTCCTGCAGTTGTGGAGGTAAGTCATGGCTTTAAGCGTTCAGAAATTTTAAGGAGTGTATTCAGTTTTTGTTTGTATACTTAGCGCACCTCTTTCCGTTGCATATCATCTCTTTTTATTCTCTCGCATCTTTTTTTTCCCATCTCGGATTCTGTTTTGCAGGATCGGATTCTGTGGCCGCCCGTGGCCATAGTAAAAAACTTGCAAACGTTTTGGACGTTTGATAAGAATCAGAACAGGAAGATTCTGGGCGGCACGACTCGTGAGGAGCTGGAAAGCACTCTCAAGAACTATGGGCCGCGGAAAGTGGATGTGCTTTACAGTGAGTGGGGGGGGGGAGGGAGAGGGGGTGACATGACTCGTGCGCATGCTTGCCTCTCTCATAGAGGTACAAACGGGGGAGGGGCGTTCTGGGTGGGGTGACCCGGGAGGAGCTGGAAAGCACTCTCAAGAACTACGGGCCACGGAAAGTGGATGTTCTTTACAGTGCGTGGGGGATGATGGGGGGTGATGATTCAGTGCGTGTTGTTAGTTGAACAGTGCCTGCCGTGGGCCGCGGAAAGTGGATGCGCTATACAGTGAGTGGGGTGTGAGGGAGGGAAGGGCCGGAGAGGGGGAGACGAAATACGGGGAGGGAGAAGGAAGGAGTGGTGTTGATAGTGAGCGATCTTGTGTCGACTCGAGATTGTCGCATTCGCGTACCGGCGTACCGCATGCCTGTCGGCCTGCCTGCCTCCCTCATGCCCTCGAGTTTCTTGTTGCTCGTTAAATTCTCCCCTATCATCAGACCACAAGGGCCATACAGGGAGGAACGGATCTTCGTCACTTCGAGGAGAACACGCAAGGGATGGGAGACGACCACATACACATGCCTGCCTCTCAGTTTCTTTCCAATCTTGCGTGCTCCCTTGATTCGATCCTCACCCTTCATCAGGCTTCAGAGGCCACACAGGGACGGCTCTGATTCACTTGGAGGAGAACGCGCCAAGGGGTGGGTGGGAGAGCCCACATACATCCACATGCCTGTCTCTCTGTTTCTTTTCTAACTGCCTCACTCTCTTGACTCCCCCACGTTCTCAGACCGCATGGGCCATACTGGCATGGCTCTGATTCACTTCGAGGAGAACGCCAAGGGATGGGAGGCCCGCATACACATGCCTCTCTGTTCCTTCCTCGCCAATCTGTCTTGATTCGATCCCCCCCCGTCCTCAGACCGCATGGGCCATACAGGCATGGCTCTGATTCACTTGGAGGAGAACGCCAAGGGGTGGGAGGCTGCGTCCAAGCTGGACAAGACGTATGCCCAGTCGGGGTGGGCGAGGGAGGGGTATGCGAATGGGAGGAGGGGCGAGACAAAAGAGTTGTTTGTGTGGGCGGCAAGGGAGCAGGATTTGAAGGAGGAGAGTGAGAAGGGGCCGCTAGGGAGTGTGCTGCATAAGAAGCACAAGGCAACCAAGAGCCTGAGGGAGGTGAGTTTGGTCTATACATTTGACTCGAAAGGTATGTGGAGTGGAGGTCAACGGAGTGAGAAGGGGCCGCTGGGGAGTGTGCTGTATAATCAGCACTGGACGACTAGGAATCTAAGGGAGGTTATGTTTGTTCATGGATGCGACTTCAAATTGAGGGTAGAGGGTGAGAATGAGCCAGTGGGGAGGCGGTGAAGAGGTAATATGTCCTCTTTTGCCCTCCTCTTTCCTCTCCTTTTCCCTACTTTCTCCTCCTCTCTTGGTGTTGGGCGAGCAGGAGTCAGTGAAGCGGCAGCAGGAGCGGGGGGAGAGGCGGGTGCAGGAGCGGGCGTTCATGCGCCTATCTAACTCACACTGTGCCTCCCTTCCCTTTTCCTCTCCTCCCCTCCCCTCTTCCCCCCTCCTCTCCTCCTCTTCTCAGGTGTTGGACGAGGAGGAGTCAGTGAAGCGGCAGCAGGAGAGGGAGGAGAGGCGCGTGCAGGAGCGGGCGTATATGCGCTTGTCAGAGCGCCTGCAGGACACAGAGGGGCGGCTCAAGGAGATGGAAGATTCTGCTATGCAACTCAGGAAGAAGCACGAGCAAGGTGTGCGGAAGATGTTGCAATACAAGGATGGAGAAGGTGCTATGGCGTTCAGATCGCATGTGGGATGACATGGAACGAGAAGTGATGTGAAAGGGCTGATGCAATTGTTTCTTGATGCTCCTTCCCCCTCTGTCTTGTCCCATGCCTATTGTCACACCTGCCCTGTGTCTCACTGCTGCAGAGCTGGCAGAGGCACACGCGTACACACAGGAGGTGATGGAGAGGCAGATGAGCGATCGCATGCGGGAGGTGCGGCGCATGGAAGGGGAGATGGAGTGGCTGCAGCGACAACTGGAGGCGAGGAGTGCTAACGAGCAGGAGGTGAGGATCAACAGGGGGCGAGAGGAGAAGGGGTTGAGGGGAGGAGTGGGGGCAGTTGAGAGAGGAGAGGGGGGGATTGGGGGAGAGGGAGGGGGGGAGACAAGGAACACGAGGTGAGTGAGGGGAGAGGCAGATGAGTGATTGCACACATGCACTGTCGCACACATACGCTCACACATGCATGCACTACTGTCACCATCCGAGTGCCTTGTTGTGCTGCTGCTACATCTCTTTCGTGGCAGACGAGGCGAAGGTTGGAGGTGCTGACACGGCAACTGAAGCAGCAGGAGCAGCAAGGGGAGCTGCAGCAGCAGCAGGCTCAGAGGCGAGCGGTGAGTGCTTAACTCTGGGTCGGAAGGGAGTAGTGGAGAGGTTGGGGGAAGACCTGGGGAATATATCTGTAATGTGCCAAATCATGCTTCAACAATATCAAACTCGAACCGGTTCAGTTTGAACCATGTTGAGTTGGGCTGGTAGTCGAACCGAATCAAAGTGGTGATTTGGGCCGAATCAGTTAGGGACCTAGGCAGATTCATAGTTCAAGTCAACTTATGTGGTCAAACCACGGGTAGTTCGACTCGAATCATCTGCGGTTTGAATCGAACCAGCTTGGTTCGGTTCGACTGGGCCCTTCATTGTAATCACATCTTTGCAGCAGTTTTTTTTTTCCCCTTTTTTTTTTTTGCAGCTTTATTGTCATCACATCTTTGTATCCACACCTACACGTGAAGGGCCTGTGAGGGGTATTAATTATGGTACTAACACGGTCAACGGTCACATGCTGGTACATAACGTAGATTATGTCACCCACAAGGAAGACTTTTGAGGAGCAGAGGGGGAGGGTGAGGGGACGAGGGAGGCGGAGGAGAGGGTGAGGCGGCTGGAGGAGTTGGAGGAGGCGAAGGAGATGCTGGACATGCAGCCTGCTTACCCCTCCTTCTTTCCTTCCTTCCCCTTCTTCCCTTCTTCCTCCTCTCCCTCTCCCCTGCCCACCAGCGTGAAATGGAGGAACTGGAAGCGAGGTTCCAGCAGGTGCGGCTGAAGGTGGAGCAGAGGCATCGCATGGAGGTACAACTGGAGGAAGCCAAGGGCAAGCAGGGAGCAGCGGGGGAGGAGGGGTCGAAGGAGGCGGAGGAGAGGGTGAGGCGGCTGGAGGAGGAGTTGGAGGAGGCGAAGGAGATGCTAGACGAGGAACAGGACAGGTTCTTTCGGCTGTCCGTGGATGCAAGGGTGAAGGATGACGATGTGCTGAATGCTCGGAAGACCGTCCTTGAGGTGTTTATGTGCCTTCCAGGCGCTGGTTTCCCTGGTTGGTGTGTGCGTGCTTGCCTGCCTGCTGTGTGAGTGCCTTGCCTGTTGGTAGGTACATGCTCGCTAGGTTGCTGAGGCGGCTAGAGGAGGAGTTG